ATAGTGGTTTTCGATAAATTTAGTGGTTTTCGATTTGTATGCAGTGGATTTTAATTTTTTTTAAATATGAACCATTTAAAAAAGTAAAAAAAAAAAAAAAAAACTTATGTTTTAAATTAATATAAAAAAAACTATTTAAAAACAAAATACTGCATATTATACGGTTATGTTTCCTACCGTGATTTGGGGGAAGAGGGGCGAATTATACGGCAATGTGATTTTGGGATTGATTTGGAATTGATTTATTTTTGGGAGGGATTTGGTATTAATTTACCTTAATATTTAATTTAATAATTATACTAATAAGTAGGGGTATATATGGGTTTTTAAGTATAATGGATTTATCTCAAATACCATTAATTAATTAAGGATTTATCAAGAATAAAAAACCCAATGGAGGGTGTTTGACATATTCCCCCATTTTTTTAAATGTAAATTCTACATTTAACTCAACCAAACGGTTTAGTTCAATATCTAAAATTTGCCTAACTCAAATCTAGTGCCATCCCTCGAACAACCTTAGCTAGAAAACTTTAACTATAAGCCCAAAAAGATATTTATGGAGGACTTGAATTAGCAATAATGAATAATTAATGTAATAATTAATGGTATTATTAGTACATCCTAATATCCTATCCATCTCCATAACAGCTTAAGAACATTAATGCAAAGCACAACCCACAATTAATCATCTGTCCCTTGTTTTGCTTTATCCTTTATTTGAGGGAAATCCAACATTAAATTGAAGATAGCACAACTGCACAAAACCATGTGCTATTTGCAATACATGTCTCGGTGACTGCAATTCTTTTTTCAATTTTTTTTTTTTTTGTTATTTTTTTTTTATTTTTTTATTTTTTATTTTTTATTTTTTTTATGTTTTTTTTTCATTTTCGGAGAAAATAAGATAATGGAGCGGCTAAAACAAATACTGTTTTTTTCTCACTTCAATACCACTAACATAAAAATAAAAAATAAATAGATAATAAACAGGTAACGACTTTATTACCCTTAATAGAAATTAATCCCACACACAAAATTTATATGTGGTATTAATTTTATTAAGTGTATTAAGGTCATTACCTATTTATTTTTTATTTTTTTATGTTAGTGATATTGAAGTGAGAAATAAACGGTATTTGTTTTAGCCGTCCCCATAAGATAATCGTGTCGGGGATTCGAAATTCCAGGATTTGCGGGTGAAATTAAACCGACAGATGTGCGTTTCTTACCGAGAAAATAGGGAATAACGGGGCTCCACCTACTTATATTAGTGTAATTAATGATATTCCGTTTTGTCTTTATAATTTCATTTATTTAATTAAAATTTGGACCAATCTATTAGGGGTAATATAATGAGAGAGATTTGCTGCAGGATTCTAGGCTTGTTGCACTATTATTTTTTATTTTTTTATTTTTTTTCGCCCAAAGTTTATATTAAAAATTTTAATTGGATGATACCAAATCAAGAGTTTTGATTTTGACGATGTAGTTCACTTTTTGAGTCATGCAAGAGATACTTAACGGTTAGAGCAAGTGAGTCTCTGTCAATTATAATTGGTTGCGGGTTTCTTCATAAAAAAAACAAAAAACAAAAAACGAATTTGACTTATTGAAACAATTATATGATCATAAGGTCATGTTTCTTTTATGCTACACCAGTACACCACATAAATTTTAATTGAATTATATATATATATATATATATATATATATAATTATATATATATATATATATATATATATATATATATATATATATATATATATAAAATCACTCCTATGTATATCAAAGATGAAAAAAAAATACAAATGTATTTTATCATATATAACACCTACAAAATGTGTCCACCACCTTGTCACATGCACGTGACTGGATTTCCTATTTTAATTGGAACGTAGTGACAGAGTTGTCATCTTTGGTACAACTCACAATAATTTACCATTAATATTTATTTTATTTTAAAGCTTTGACAAATATATTCACTATTTTCAAAATTGGACCTAACATAAAATTATGAAAACACTGGGTTACAGGTAAATTGATTCAACTTGATTCAATTGAGTTTTTTGTTATTATTTATCTTTAATCATTTAGAAATAATTTTAAAAGTGACATATTCAAAGTGTATGTAAGGTCAATCATTGATCTGACCACTATAAATCCCTTGTTCTTATTTTGTTCAAAATTCCGTTCTTATTCTTCAAGTTATTTCCAATTTTGCATTTGAATCGGCTTTGACAACCTAACATTTTGGATAGTCATCCCATACTACATTATTGATATGTATAAGACAATATAATTATTGCTTGAATGCTTGTTGGATTTCTTGGATGATTACAAATGAGGATCCTACCTCTATTTATACTAGACCACCTCTTCAATGGACGCTTCAAAGAATTCCAAAAATATCTACAAGGGAGGATTCTAGAATATCTGAATCCTCCAAGAATCTCTACCTACCTCTATTCATTTGGGCCAACTTTGCCTAACCCTATTTGGGCTAAATCTTGGGCTTCTTAACCTCTCCAACCCAAGAGAAACTGGCAAGGGGTTGGCCAAAACTAGCGGGCCGTGACACGCCGTTCTTGAGCACTTAAAATATAATAATAATTGGTGTAAATTACGGTCACCCATGAAGTAAGGTTAAATTACGATTTTTTTTTATTTGGATAATTACAGTCACTCCTCTAACTATGAATCTTTTTACTTGTGAACTCTTATAGTGTCAAATTCAACAATTTTTTCTACATTCCATGAAATGTTCTCCAATTTGTACTCATTTTGTGCAAAAATGCAGTTACTGTTGCACCACAATCGGATATTTACAAACCAAGACACACATCTTATGATCATCTTATTTCCAAAATGTGGAGCTCGAATATGGTAAAACGGATACAAACCGAAGAATATTCCACAAAATCTAGAAGATTCCATTAACTTTGACACCGCAATAGTGGACTTGTAAGAAGATTCATAAATGAGGAGGATAGTTGTAATTACCTGAGCATGATGGGTTTTATAGTAATTTGACAATACCTCAGGGGAGCCCGAAGTTTGCCCTAATAACTAAAACATTTTATCTTTTTTTACAATTTTATTCATTTATTTTTTTTCATGTAAAAGAGAAGAAACTATTATTTTACGACACCGGTTAATTTTTACTCCACACCGAACAACATAATATGTTTTTTTAATTCGTTTGATGGGTTATTTATTTTAGAAACTATGGATTCGTGCACTTTCTCATTTGTTATGAGGCAACATAAGGAAGCAAAGAATTCTTCCCATTTAGCAAAGCCTCTATAATTTGTTTGGAGTCTCCTTCAAGCACCAACGAAGACCAACCTTTTGAAACCGAGATAGAAAGTGCCCGTTGGGCCGAACGAACGAGCTTCCCCAACAACAACTGTAGGCCGTCCAATAATCCGTTCGACACTCCACGAAATACACTCACCCTTCCAATTTCGTGCCACCATAGCCGCGATTAAGTCATTATTCAACTAGATCCGATAAAATTACTAAATACCTTGTTATTGTACTCTTATGCAATATGATTCACAGATGCTAATACCCAAGTCCATATACATGAAAAAATGTTAGCCCTTATGCTACACATAGTGAAATTCACTAATGAGTAGTTTTACATTATTAATTTGCACCCAATCACATATATATTTATATAAATATGGAGGTGTCTAAAATATGTATAGATATATAGACATGTATAATTTTCTTAGATCAAGATAATACTATACAATATTAACAGAAATCAACTCTATAATTGGAGTATAATTGTTCCGATAATTTATTATCGAAGTAACCAAACATCAAAATAAAAACCTAAT